GTTGCATTGTTGACTGTGTCCCGATTACTCTTTTGACTACGCTACTGTTCATGTCGTTCACAAGCATCAACTAGAATAAAGTTCCTGTTAAACCAAACGCTGTCTAATCCTTCCTCTTTAACCATAAAACTACCTGGGTATTTGAATAAAGGGGGTAACTTTCTAAAAAAAACTGTGGTGCTGCGTCGGTGGGGGTAAGAAGATAATTTGGTAATTACAACTAAGTTGAAATTGTAAATTGGCCGCCGTGAAGAGTTAAAAAGCTGACGTTTCGAGCGTTAAGAAACGTCAGCTTTTTAATTCTTTACGGTGGCCAATTTACAACTTCAACTTAGTTGATATTACCAAATTACATGGGTATTTGACAAGCTTAGATTGTTCCCATGGTAATTTAATAACAATGTTTGCTATCAAAAGATCTCGAGCGATAGAATTGCTTTATTTCAAACTTAAGATTTCAGATAAAGGCCTGTTTCTGCATACGAGACTGTTTCTAAAGGCTGCCATGATTTATCCGGGATTCTGTAGCATAACTAGAATAAAGTGACGAAGAGTCTAGCTATTCTTTTTGGCTCGCCGGGTGAAGCAGGTGCATAGCAGGTTATCATTCAGTATTATATCAGCTTTTCTGGAAAAATATATTTGAGGAAGTACCGCCCTCCGCAGCCTCTCAAAGAAAGATGGGAGTGAATCCCCCTGATACCAGAAACTGGAGTCTACAATATAGCGTTTGCACGATTACCCTTTCCATTGGCAGGGTTGAAGCGTAAGCGAAAGGAAAAGTTTGTTTAAAACACACTTCTACAGGGCATCCTCCTACTTTTGAAACTGTTCTAGCATAATAAGCGGCTATTTTGTGGGGTGAGTTATTGGAACGTGTAACTTCCAACCATAAAATCTTCCTGCTAAATCCATCTATCGCACCATGGATCGGCAAACCCCATGCCTTCAGCTTGTCGTGGCAATCAATGTGCCACGCATAGTTCGGTCCAGGATTTTGATACATTCTCCTTTTCAAGCAATGCTTTCTGCGTAGCTCAGTTCCTTCTGGGTCCATCTCTTTTAACAAATCTTGAACAATTACCCTGGGAACCCGGAGCCCTTCCAATTCAAGGATATGCCAAATAGAACGATACCCAAAGGAGCTGCAAGAGCCACTAATGAGTTCAGTCAAGCGCCTTTGTACTTTCAAAAATTTGTCATTAAAGGTTTCTTCATCCACCATACCTCGTCTCTTCAAACCATATTGTTTTAGCCTTCTTAACAGGGTACTATAGCTCATTTGACACTGATGACGGTTGCAAAGAAAGAGAACCGAGTATTTCTTGGTAACCAAACCCGCGATGAAGGTAGTACTTTAGAATTTCCTCTTCGTCAAAGCTTCCTTCGAATTCATCAGGGTCACTGTCTGACCCATCTGAAGCATCTGAAAGTCATGATACACAATTTTAATAAAATAAACGTAAGAAAAATGAAATTCACAATTTACGTTTACTTTCTATATGTGAAATACGTATAGTCTAAAGATTGTCACAGGCATGAAAAATGATATGTTTAAAAAAGTAAAACAGTACAATAAAATATGTGTTAAATTATATAAGTTAAGTCACACATAGACTACCTTGCCAGATATCTGCTTAACAGAGAGGTGCAGAAGCCTGGTTGGTACTCCCAAAAAAATTGAGTGGGGGTGTGCAAGGGTGTGTGTGCTTCCCACAACCCTTACCCTATTTGTGACCAAAATCTGCTATTTTCCCTATACCCTATTTATGACACGACAAAAATTTGATACCCTATTTCTGGTCGTTAGAGCTGACAAGTTGCTTGAATTAAATTAGGAAGGGCGTTTGTTGATGGTGTTATCGATATAAATGAAAAAGTAATTTCTTCTGAAAAACATACTTTATTCAAGACCAGAGTGAATGACTAAAACAACTGAAAACAAAAACATACTCTTTGCGGCCGCACACACCCATATAGCCCATATAATGGAGTACCCTCCCCCACCCCTCCGCGGGTGCAGAAGACACAAACGTACGACAGGAATGTATGAACAAGCTTTCCATTTACCTTGGGTTTGTGCCCTCTACGCCTGGGTTAATCTGTCAAAAGAAGTCCATCGAATTTTTACAAAACAATTGAAACGTTAGAATAAAACACTTGCCCTGTATCTCGCTATTCTTCTATAATCAGCTATATATAATTATCTGTGAAAGGTGAACTGATCAACACGACACGAACGTGGAACAACATAGGTGCAACATTTCTCTTACCTTTGCCACAGGTTCTGCAGAATTTGCAGTTTTCAACATCGCTGCCACAATTAGTACAATACATATTAGCTTGGATTCTGATCAATAGTGTCAAAGAACGATCGATCAAAACGGATCGTACAAAATGGCGATAAAGTGGAAGACCGAGTAAACATTGGGGATACCATTCATTGACTTAGCCGCTGACCAATTGATGTAACAATTTGTATTTGATGTGAGCGATTTGAATTTGATGTGAGCGATTTGAATTTGATGGGAGCGATTTTAATTTGATGTGAGCGATGTGTATTTGGTGTGAACGATTTGTATTTGGTGTGAGTGATTTCAATTTAATGTGAGTAATTTTAATTTGACGTGAGTGATCTTAGTTTGACGTGAGTGATTTTAATTTGATGTGAGTGATTTTAATTTGATGTGACAGTTGTGGGCCACCGTACTATGTAAACAAGTGGTACTTGCACTGACTGAGTGAACAGTGATGTTTGTGCTTGTCAGCGTGGATTCTAGGGACTCGGTTGTCAAACAAGAAGCAAAAGAAGACTGATTTGTTTATAATGGTGACCTTGACAGTATTCCTTTTGAAGTTTTTCTCATTACATCCATCCATTACTGCTGGTAACCTCACAATGCAGTGGATAAACAAGTGTTCAAATAAATAAACAAATTAATCACTCAATGGTAATATCAGAATTGTCATGCTTCACCAAATGTTTAGAAACACGATTCAACTTATAGTAAAATTAATTGAACCTTTGTTAAGATTTATTTCCTCTGATCTAAATTTTGGGGAACACATTAAAATACAAATTATTTGTACAAGGCAGACCACCTGGCCAATCTGAGGTTAGAGAAAAGGGTGAACTACAGATTTGCAGCAGGCCATGCAACCACATAAACAATAGGACCACACTGCTTAATTTCTTATTACTGTGAAACTAAGAAAGCCACAAACACTTTGATTTGATTCTCACAGGACAGTTGTGTATAGTTTAACACAAAATTCAGGAGTGAGCAAACTCCCTTCTGCTGCTGTTAGTTGTCTTGAATTGCAAGGACATTATATGAGCACATGTATTCCTGGAGTACACAGTTTCTGAGTGTCACAACATAGTTAGTAGAGGGGACCCCTCTACTAACTATGGTCACAGTAACAGTGTGGACAAAATACTTTTGTTCCTGAGAATAACGAAAAGTAGTCCTTTGTAAGGCTACATACATTTCAAAGCTCGTTTGACATTCACGCGAGTCGTGACCTGTTTGGAGCGCACGAGTGATTTACGTATTCACATCTGCTCTCTCGTTATCATTTTAGTGAAAAAATCATTAGGGCGTATAACGAACGGGTTATACGAATTCATTCTGTTGGCTTCAAAAAGACCTAAGTCCACACTTAGGCAGCCTCAGAGAGATTAAATTGATACAATCGTTTTCGCTTTGACGAAGGGCTAACGCTCGAAATATCAGCTTTAGAAAAATGTAATATCTGCAAGTCTACTAAAAGTCTCTACAAATTGGAACGCATATTAAATTATTTTGCGCAGCATTCCTAATATCGGTAGCACTATATTAGAAATTTACGCTCCTTTAAAAAAGTAAGGTATTTTTCCCAAAGTCTTTTGCCCTCGGTTTTCTCACTAACCATAAATTCCCAAGTTTGTTATTATTATTATTTAAAGTTTGTAGTTACTTTAGTTTGTGGGTCCACATCAGTTTTTTAGCTGCCTTTTATCGACCTATGTGACAAATAAAGTATGTCTGTATGTAAGGCTAATTTACTGTTCTGCCTTGTAAAATATTTATGAACTTCATAAAATTTACCAAAATACGATGAGAAATAGGCTGGAGCGGGGGAGTATAGGCGCCAGGATTACAGAATTTCTACAGAACAGTTAACAATGTCGGCTTTCAAGTAGTAAATAGTAAATACTCTCCCTTCACATAAAAAAAGATATTTCTTCAAAGTCTCCACGATGTACAGATCAAAACCTATTAAAAATCAATTACGTGCCGCCAGACACGCCATTACAAAATTATTTTTGTGAGGGTTATCATCTTTTATGGTGTCACGGCAAGGACTAAAAGTCAAATCTTCGGACCTACTGGTCATAATTAGCTGATTCGAACAGTAAAATGTTCTCCCTTCGAAAGAAAATTTCTCTAAATTTACACGACGTGCCGATCACACCTTTCTAGATATTTCTGTAAGGAAATGCTTTCTATTTTCAAGCGCCATCCTGAAATTATTTTCAGATGTTTATTGTTTTATTTTTTACTCCGAAACAAAGAACAATTAAAAAGCATTAGGTAAAATTGGGTCGGGTCGGTATATTTTATTTTTACCCCCACTCGCTCTTAAAGAGCTCCGTCCTGTTCCTGCCAATTAGCCACTTAGAGGGAAACCATGACGTAAGCCAAATTTTTCTACTCCCACCTGCGTACTCAAAACATTCATAAACGTATCAAGCTGAGGAACGAAAACGAACATAATCCGATAGTCTTTCCGATAACGACGATCTCTGGGAGAATACCTTTGTCATTGCTTGTCATGGATTCTGTTTGTCGTGAAAATGGTTGGACCGAAAACCTTGGGTCATGCCATGTCGTGGAAAACTTCTCTATCGAAACCGAAAGCGGACCTTTGAGCGCCAGTCTCCATGAGACAAGAACAAACCAAATCCTCAAAGTACTGCAGTATTTGGGTCTTGTTGAAGGAGGCAGATGGAGAAAATTTGGGCGGGTTTTCATTCTGGTGATTGTCGTTCTAACATGGATCCCACCAACTTTTCTGGCGATCTGCGTAAAGAAAGACCCAACTATGTCCTCACCAAGTGGCTTACCGACAATATTGTTACTCTCAGGCCTTGCTCTATCGCATCACTTCGGAGCTTTGTACGGATACAAGCATCGTATAAGACTCAAAGGGAATATACGTTTGGCTATCGAACGAGCGAATTTCTGCCGAACATGGCTGATCGTGATCATGACGTTTGCAATGTTGACTTTGTCTTATCTCATTCTTCTTGTCTATTTGTACGTTACACAATCCATTCGCCCTCTCCCGTGGCTTCACATTGGCTGTATCTATCTCCTCGGCTACATTTACTGTGGTTCAATAAGCGTAGCTATGAACCTGGTTTTTAGTGCGTCATGCGCAGCCATCAAAATCAGGATCATCGACTTTAAAGAAAAGTTCAAAAACTGGTCCAAGGGACTTCGTGAAGCTCTTATCGAGTATCAAGAACTCTGCGAATTCATGAACGTGGAAATCGAATCAATCAAATGGTGGCTATTGGCTAATATCGTCAGTTTTGTTATCAACTGGCTAGTTAATTTTCATTTGTGGCAAATCCTAGCAGGCGAAGGTCAAGGTAGTGTGGTGAGGTTAGTGTTTTACAACTGCTCCTGGAGCCAGCCTCTTCCAGCGCCGAAGTTGCTCTTAAATGACGGACTCATCACCAGCTGTGAGTTGCTTTTCTCCTCTCTGGTCTTTTTCTTCTTTATGTCCCCACTCTATTGGGCTGCCATGGTAACTTTGCAGTGTGACAGGTTCCGTGAATCAGTCAACTGCAGTATTGCACAAACAGATGAGAGACCTCTAGGGAATTTCCATGTGACTTCGCTCGATTTATTCATTAACCGCGTGCAGATGTCCAGTAACTTTCCTTTAAGTCTATTCGGCATTAATGTTACGAAGGTGCTTTTATCAGTAACAGGTTTAATGACCACTGTGCAAGTCGTACTAAGTATCGTGACGAAAAAACTGCTTCCTTCTTAGCACTTGAGCCTGCAGTGCAACTTGAAGTGTCTCTACACTGGTTATACAGCACATACTGAACTCATTGTTTCATCGCCTTGGAAAGCTAGTACTTTTAATTCCTTTCCCGCAATGATTGTCATTTCGCTGGGCTTTTATATTATTGTTTCGTTGAAATTAAGTCGCACTCTGTTAACAGGGGGAAAATTTGTGTTTTGGTTTCGGACGAGTTTTTAGTACTTTTTACGGTCGCGCAGTTCAAGTTTTGATTTTTCCTTGTATTTTTACTCATTCTTTAAGTAGACCGGCTGAGCTGTAAAAAAATTATGATTGCATTGGTTCTATTCAAATTGTTATTATTATTGTTCAAGCACCGAAATATTGTAGTGATGTCGTTTATTATAGAATCTTATGGTTATTTTAAAGGTTTTTCGTGGGTTTCGGGAAATGTATTCTTTAAATTTTCATAATAATAATTTTCGATGTATTCGAGTCTATCCAAGCTCTTTGAATTCGTTCAAGTAATTCAAAAATATCGAAAACACCAAAGTACCTTTTTGAAATACTCAACAAGTCCACTTTACTTTGATGCTTGTCTGCAATGTACACCTGCATTTCTGTGCTATTGTTTACCATTACTATTGAAATTATTTACTACCGCAATTAAGACAGGTATTTTAACTTCAGACCTGTGAAAAATTTCCTTTTTTAAATGGCCTAGAGTATCCTACCCGCTTTTTTATTTTCTTAATCCTTTCCGTTGCGGAAGGAGATGGATCACTTTAAGCAGAAATGAATTTGTTAAGAAATTACTCCTTAAACTTCGCGTTAAAACTTTACTATAATTTGTACAGATGACTAGTGAATGCTTATCTAGCCTTAAACCAGTAGTGTAAATCGCATCAATTAAATAGTTTTAACGAGTAAACAATATCCTATAATGTTTCATTACTAATGTGTAACTAATCAATCTTTTGTTTTAGTAAGGAATTAAGTCAAGTATTTGTAAGTGAAGGAAAGAAAGAAAACAAACTTATGGACCTAAGAACAATTAGTTTTTTTTATGTATGTATGTATCAAGCAAATATCATGTTAGTAATGGAAATTCACCCATTGGTAGTGTAAGTGTAAGTAACCATTCTTTTGTAAATATTGTATCTTAAGTGCGTTTCTATTTGTAGTATTTTTTGTGAGTAGTATCATTTGCAACTGATGCGTGTTGAATAAAGTTCATTTAAAAAGATATAAAGCAGGAATCGTTCAACGTCAAAGAGACAGTTTCCGCTTCTTTTTTTAATAGTATTTAAATACTGTAAATTATAATAATTAGAGGACAATAGGACCACGCCCTCGATAGTATTTAAGGAAGTACGTTGTAAAACTATTTTCGTTGCATTGTCGACTGAGTGCCGATTACACTTTTGACTACGCTACTGTTCATGTCGCTCACAAGCATCAACTAGGGAGTCTGTCAGACCCGTTTTCTCATTTTTTCAAAATCCTTTTCGTTGCGGAAACAGATACAATATTTAAGCAGGAATCGCTCAACCTCGAAGAGACATTTTCCGCTTCTTTTTTTAATACTATTCAAATATTGTAAACTAGAGGACAATAGAACCACACCCTCGATAGCATTTAAGGAAGTACATTGAAAAGCTTTTTTCGTTGCATTGTTGACTGTGTCCCGATTACTCTTTTGACTACGCTACTGTTCATGTCGTTCACAAGCATCAACTAGAATAAAGTTCCTGTTAAACCAAACGCTGTCTAATCCTTCCTCTTTAACCATAAAACTACCTGGGTATTTGAATAAAGGGGGTAACTTTCTAAAAAAAACTGTGGTGCTGCGTCGGTGGGGGTAAGAAGATAATTTGGTAATTACAACTAAGTTGAAATTGTAAATTGGCCGCCGTGAAGAGTTAAAAAGCTGACGTTTCGAGCGTTAAGAAACGTCAGCTTTTTAATTCTTTACGGTGGCCAATTTACAACTTCAACTTAGTTGATATTACCAAATTACATGGGTATTTGACAAGCTTAGATTGTTCCCATGGTAATTTAATAACAATGTTTGCTACCAAGAGATCTCGAGCGATACAATTGCTTCATTTCAAACTTAAGATTTCAGATAAAGGCCTGTTTCTGCATACGAGACTGTTTCTAAAGACTGCCATGATTTATCTGGGATTCTGTAGCATAACTAGAATAAAGTGACGAAGCTATTCTTTTTGGCTGGCCGGGTGAAGCAGGTGCATAGCAGGTTATCATTCAGTATTATATCAGCTTTTCTGGAAATATATATTTGAGGAAGTACCGCCCTCCGCGGCCTCTCAATGAAAGATGGGAATGAATCCCCCAGGCGCAAGAAATTGGAGTCTACAATATAGCGTTTGCCCGATTACCCTCTCCATTGGCAGTGTTGGAGCGTAAGGGAAAGAGCAAGTGCGTTTAAAATACACTTAAAGTCAACACACTGTAACCATTAAAGCTAGTTGAAAGTAAGTACAGGAATGAAAAGATAAGTAAGTAAATTAGCAATAAGTACACTGAGCAACAATAAAGTAAGAACTTCTCTCGTTGCCCCTAAAGTTACGTCCAAGAAGAACTGTCATGGCGGTGGCTGTTGCGGAGGATTTGTCCTACACTGTACTATCTGCATTACGCTCTTCCTTCTTACATGGCGGTGGCTGTTGCGGAGGATTTGTCCTACACTGTACTATCTGCATTACGCTCTTCCTTCTTACATGGCGGTGGCTGTTGCGGAGGATTTGTCCTACACTGTACTATCTGCATTACGCTCTTCCTTCTTACATGGCGGTGGTGGTTGCGGAGGATTTGTCCTACACTGTACTATCTGCATTACGCTCTTCCTTCTTACATGGCGGTGGTGGTTGCGGAGGATTTGTCCTACACTGTACTATCTGCATTACGCTCTTCCTTCTTACATGGCGGTGGTGGTTGCGGAGGATTTGTCCTACACTGTACTATCTGCATTACGCTCTTCCTTCTTACATGGCGGTGGTGGTTGCGGAGGATTTGTCCTACACTGTACTATCTGCATTACGCTCTTCCTTCTTACATGGCGGTGGTGGTTGCGGAGGATTTGTCCTACACTGTACTATCTGCATTACGCTCTTCCTTCTTACATTTGACTCTGTAAATTGATTTTACGAGGGCCACAACGAGAAAGACAAACACTGCGTTATTAGCCCAATTTGTCTTTCGCAAGTTATTTACCTGACAAAGTTTGGTGTCAAATTGAAGAGGTTGAAACCTCGACATGTTATCTGAACCACTCGATCCAGCATAAGAAACTCTCATCGACCCGGAAAGAACAAATACTATCCAAGGTAATAGGATCGACCCGGACAGAACTGATACTATCCAACGTAATGGGGTCGAAATAGTTCGTTTCTTGGCTCCACTTGAAGAGATGCTCAAATTTCTTGTTGTTCGTAATATCTTCCCACGTCGAAGACTGAGCGAAATACGAATAGTAATTTTAAGCATTATTTGTAATTCAAAATGAGTTTTCCGACCTCAAAAGGCGNTCTATTGTCTATCTTCCATCGTTCATCGTCTATTGTCTATCTTCCATCGTTCATCGTCTTTTGTCTATCTTCTATCTTCCATCGTCTATCTTTAATCGTCTACCGACTATCATGTGGGTTTAGTATCTGCCCATCACTGTGAGCTGACCATGATAACAGGTCTGAAGGAGACCAGTTGCCTTAAATGTCAACTACAATGTTAGCCACTTACATAAGGTTGCAAAAATTTCAGAGCGCTTGCGCTTTGCAGCTGTGTTTGGCTGTGCTACTAAAGTTTCTTTTCTTGTTGAGTTCAATGTATTATGCGGACCTTGCATACCTGAAACAGTTTGAAAATATGGATACTGCTTCAGCTCTTGGACACTAGGCAGCCAGCTAGAAATCAGGACATGAGGCCTTTGTACTAGTTCTTGATTAGAAATTTGCTTTTTGGTACTCTTTCACGCTCTCCTACAGTCACTGAGTTAACAAATCGCTTCCAGAAGAGTGAAAAACTTCCATCTCGACGCCTTCATCTACACCCTCTTCTTTTTTTTGTTTCTCTAGATTAATCGTTTTTGCTTTGACGTAGTGCTAACACTCAAAACGTCAGCTTAAGAACAATCTAATATATATCAAGTAACCAATAAAAGTCTCTACAAACTGGTTTGCGCATCGACAGAATGTCTGTACGTCTCCGGCATTATTAATATCGGTAGGCGCCTTATCAAAGCTTTACGCTCCATTAAAAAAATAAAGTATTTTTCCAAAGTTTTTTGCTCTCGGTAAGGCTAATCTACTGTTCTGCCTTGTAAAATATTTATGAATTTCATAAAATCTACCAAAATACGGTGAGAAATAGGCTGGAGCTGGGGAGTATAGGCGCCAGGATCGATTACAGAATTTCTACAAAACAGTTAACAATGTCAGCTTTCAACGAACCCATGACATTTGTTTTCCGGAGAGAAAAAAAGTTTGAAACCTTTCCCCATATCAAACTAACAAATACTTTGACAAAACGAAAGCCACTGGATTTGCTTTTAAATTAACTTTGAGAAATATTGTGATAATTCTCACTTCCACAATACGTAATGCGGTTTTTGATTGTTAAATTCCAGATTTGCTCGAATCGCAGTTTAGCGGCTCTTTAGCATTAGCACTGACTGAAATAGTAAATGCTCTCCCTTCCCTCAAAATAATATTTCTTCAGATACTTTGGCAAATCAATTACGTGCTGCCGGACACACCACTGTGAAATTATTTTGAGACGTTTATTATCTTTTAGAGTGTCACAGCAAGGACTGAAAAGATCATATCTTTGGATCTGCTGATCATAATTCGCTGATTCAAAGGGTAAAATGCTCTCCCTTCGAAAAAAGATTTCTCTAAATTTACATGCTGCGTCGATCACTCCTTTCGAGATATTTCTGCAAGGAAATGCTTTATTTTTTATACGCCATCCTGAAATTTTTTTGAGATGTTTGTTTTTTGTCGTACTCCGAAACAAAGAATAAGTGGCACCGAGAAACATCGGGTAAAATTGGATCAGGGTCTCCCACCGCCTCCCAGTAAGCTCAATGGATAGAGCGCTGGACTGTTTGTGCGGGAGGTCTTGGGTTCGAGCCCCGGCCGGACTAGCACTCAAGGTCTTAAAACAAGTGACAAGAATATGCTACCTTTCTATATCAAGAAATGGTTAGATACTCTAGTCTTCTCGGATGGGACGAATAAATGGAGGTCCCGTCTCCTGTAGGGTTAGGGGTAGGAGCCAGGAATGGTTAATTTCCCATGCACGAGGTTACTGTGTGAAGGATGTCCTCCCTTGGGGTGGTTGCTGGGTGGAAATTGGCCCTGAAAATCCCCCCATGGGGAGTGGTCAATTAACATATGTATGTTTGTATGTATGTATGTATTCTATGTTTAACTCCCCC